CACACTGCAGAAATTCGGAGAAGAGGCAAACTTGCACGAGTAATTGGAAACTTGACTTCGCCAGGCCCTACAAAGATTCTGATACTTTACTGGAGTCTTTCACGACACGAGGGCCATGCAAGGCAGAAAACAGCTCGAAGCAGCCGTTGACCGGAGAAGCAGCGCCCACCAAAAGCTACCCGCTAGAAAACACAAGGAGAAAATCCGGTCGCAGATGTTGACTACACCACCCCGGAATCAGCCCCCCCCCCCGCCCCCGGTCACGGCCATTTACTTCAGCTCTGGGCTGTCGGCGGCAGATTCACGCAGGAATCATGTTCCGGTACAAATTGGAAAGACAGCAGTGGACGAACCCCGGAAGTCGTCCTGCATTGGAGGAACTGCGGAGCACATGCAAAGCGGGAAAGACACCTCTCTGTGGAGCCCTGGCAGTTGGCGGGCAAAGAGGCAAGCAGCTGCAGCAAGTAGGTCGCCGCAGGGCTTGCCAAGCAAAACGGTCGTTGTGCGCAAGCTGTTGCACTTGCTTACAATTTTTAAAAGAAGATCTGCCGCTCTCCTGTGGCGCAGAGAAAAGCTGCAAAAAACACATGCTTGAATTAGTGGCTGTGCCCGTGGCTGTGACCGTGACCTCCCTCACCCTCAGATGTAGGAGCGAAGCAGTGCTCGTGGCCGATGAGAATCAGTCCAATCAGGACCGTTCCAACGACGAAGGCCAGCATTGCAGCGAGTCGTTCGACGAAGCGCAGCTTGGGGTCGTACATCTTTGGCAAGCAGTCGGTAGCTCCGACATGCAGGTACACCCCGCCGCCGAATGCAAGGATGAGGCCGATGAAAGAATCGTCGATCGGCGTTGCAGAGACGATTATGGCTCCAATGAGGACGCTGAGGCCACTCGCGAAGTTGGCAATCAACGCCTTCAAGGGCGACAAGGAAACACCTGGCCCGGTCAAGACTACGAAGTCCGCAATTTCCTGAGGCAGCTCGTGCAGGATCGTGCCAGTGGCTACGCTCCAGCCGAATGCATTTCCACAGACCTGGAAGGCAGCGCCAATGAAGAAGCCGTCGCAAAGGTTGTGGAAGAAGTCTCCAATCAGAACTGCACCTAGCAATCGAGCTCTGGCCCTGAACTTCTGCTCTTCATTCAAAACGGTCCCTTCAGCATCCTCCTTGGAAGTTTCTGCAACCTCGGTTTGGGAAGACGATCCACGTGCGACAACCACCAAACTGCAAGCAGTCTCCACCACAGGCGGGACGATCATGCCCGCCAGGATCATAGCACCCCAGCGCCACA